CGCAAAGCGACATGTGCTTATATTACAATGATGCTATTCCCTACAATAGCACCACATATTATACTCGATAAACTTAAACGTGTGGTAAGTTGCTTTAAGTTTCGGAGTATTTCCATCCATCTATGCACAATAAATTTGTAGGGAATTAGCATTTTTGGCATATCTTCATGAGTGTATCTGAAAACAATTCGACTTGATACAAAATTTTAAGGGTCTATCTTTTTCAACAGGTGATACTTGCAGTAAGTTCGTACAGCTGTGAAAGTAAATTCTTACTGTGCTGTGACAGTAAATTCTTACTGCTGTGCTTTAGTTCTAGTTGCTAACTGACTAGTTTGCACTGCTTTAGTGTTATTAGTTTGTTAAGCCTTGAAATGTTAATTATACTTTATGTGTCTATAAAATAATGTGAAAGCTGTTACTTATGGTTATTGTGCTGGTAATGTAATTCTGATTGGAATATTGTTTAAAAAATTCCATAGATAAAAATATTGGATATAAATATTTATTTCAAACTCTATAGGATTCAGACTGTCCAAATAATATTTTGAATTTTAATCCAAGATGTTTGTTTTTTTCTGAGGAATTATATCAAATATTGTGACTCAGGGTTTGGTATACTTGTTAGCTCTGAGTAGTTCAGGCACCAGCATTTCGAAATCAACACCGACTTCTCTGACTTGCTATCAGCTACCCAACAACAACCAGGTCAGGAAAACGGGAAAAAACTTTTTACGAGATTTTCTAGATGTGAATAAGTCTAGAAAAGTTAGGAATTGCTTGGTTCATTTCTATATAAAATACAAAATAAAACACAGTCACCTCTTAAAAATAGAAAATATAATGGATGAATATTTTAAAAACAAACAGTTATCATCAATCGTAACCATTGCTTTGACTTAAGAGTATTTTTAAACAGTGAGTTTAATAGATGAACGTTTGCAAAAAATAAAGGCAAGTAAAGCAGTGATGGGCATCAATCAATCTGTGTAATTTGGCTCATCGTCTACTTCCTCAAGTTTTGTAATTATTAATGGATATTCATAAAACAATCTTATATGTCTTGTGTCGCTTTTGTCCTAAAGAGATGTATCTTTTAGTGAAGTGGACTTGAATTCGATGCGTGTATAAAAATACATGTAATTAAACATGATACTAACATGGGAATCATTAGTGACGTCATTCACACCGACTTTAACATGTACTTTTTAATTAGATGATATTAGTTTAATAGTACTGGTAAGAAATAAGTGCTCTTAAATAACTTAAAATGTCGCATTGTTTAAATTATATTTATTTTGCAAACACATATTACATTGGCGAATTTCTGGGCGGTAAATATTACAGAAATGCATGTAAACTTAAAGGTTTTAATTAAATACTTAGAACAAGAGAAACGCCTCGAAATACAACTGCTGATGTCTCCCAAGGGGTACAAGACAAAATATCTTCTGATTTAAAAATATTTATACATGTTTTTATAAATTTCATCCCACGCTCTTCTCGTATCACGAACCTACTTATAATAGCTCATTGTGAAATGGAATCAGTTGTTTTTTTTTCAACTGCTTCAAAAACTTTCCTTACGCAAATTATCTTCCCGCCTCAAACACTGCTTCTCATGTTTCTGTATCATGATTGGGTGCTTGGGCCATTCCTGTCTCTGCATCACGATTGGTGTTTAGGCCATTCATGTTTCTGTAACACGATTGGTGCTCGGGCCATTCATGTTTCTGTATCACGATTGGTGCTCGGGCCATTCGTGTTTCTGTAGTACGATTGGGGCTCAGGCCATTTATGTTTCTGTATTACGATTGGGTGCTCGGGCCATAGATCTTTCTGTATCACAATTGGGTGCTTGGCCAATTCATGTTTCTGTATCACAATTGGGTGCTCGGGCAATACATCTTTCTGTATCACGATTGGGTGCTCGGCCATTCATGTTTCTTTATCACGATTGAGTGCTCGGGCCATTCATGTTTCTGTATCACGATTGAGTGTTCGGGCCATTTATGTTTCTGTATCACGATTGGGTGCTTGGGCAATTCATGTTTCTGTATCACGATTGGGTGCTCGGGCTATACATCTTTCTGTATCAATATTGGGTGTTCGGGCCATTCATGGTTTTGTTTATCACGGTTGGGTGCTTGGGCCATTTATGCTTTATGAATTATGCATGTAAGTTGATATCATTACACATTTTGTCATCTGTAACCATGAAAGTTAATGTAGATAGTCACAGGTACAAATACATCATCCTGGTAATATCATTATAAAAGTGAAACTATGTCGTATGATTCTCAATGAAACAACTATCCAACAGAGAACGGCAGACGGATTTATATAATTTATCAAAACTTGTTTCCGAATCCCATATTTGACTGCTGTGTAAAAATTGTATTGTTCAATTGTTATAATTTTCGATAATAAATACTGTTTAAACTAACAGAAACCGAAAAATTGAGATACAAACAACTGCATGTTACCGTAAGGCTTTCAACAATGAGCAAAACCCATACTGTATATTAGGCTATAAAATATTCAGGCTTGACAAAATATTAAACAATTAAAAAAACAACGTACTGATGTATGCTAAAATATTAATCGCAGACAGCAACCAACGAAACCCATAGGATTACAGGCTTCCGACTTATACTTTTACATTAAGAATGATGCAGGAATAAAGATTTTTGCGAATGGTCAAGCCTCCCTTAACCTAGGAGAGTGGTGTAACATCACATCATAAACCTTTACTAATCAGATCGGTACTAAGCAAAAAAACAACACACAGGAACAATAAGGGCGAATAACATTAATGGCACCAATTTTTCTGCACCAGATCCGCATTTCGACTCTTTCTTCAGTGATGCTCGAGGCCAAAATACTTGAAAATCCAATAACATATTTAAAAACATGAAGAGCTTATAAACCTAAAAGGACAAACATCATAGGCAAAGCTGGGCAAGGAATCAGAGATTTGCACGAGATATTTATTCCTTAATTTCAAATAATTTCCAATTTTTAATAACACAATATCCATATTTTCATGCCAGTGCCGAAATACTGGCTTCTGTGTTGGTGATACCCTCGGGTACTAACAGTCTATTGGCAGAGGTATCGATCCAATGGCAGTAATAACATTAACGGTACTAATTTATTTGCATCAGATGCGCATTTCGACAATTATGTCTCTTCAGTGATAATCGAGGCCAAAATGTTTGAAAACCCAATAACATATTTTAAAAAATGAAGAAATTGCAAACCTAAAAGGATAAAAAGTATAGCCATAGCCGGGAAAGGAATCAGAGATTTGCATGAGTGAGATAAAGTCCTTTATTTAAAACAATTTCCAAAATTTCATAACAGCAAGTTTTAATAACACAATATCCGTATTTTCTTGCCTGTACCGAAGTACTGTCTACTAGGCTAGAGATACCTTCGGGAGCAAACAGTCCACCAGCAAAGGTATCGACCGAAAAGTACCGATCTAAAAGTACTCGTTATTACTGAAAGCTAGTTCAAATCCCAGTTTCAATTAATGAATAAATCATGTTTTTCAAGACTATGTATGTTTCATTAGCACTAGTGTTTCGTGAGACATGTGATGAATTATTAACATCATGAGAGATGATATGATGCAATATATTGTAATAACGCAATAATCACTGCGATGTTGATATATATTCAATATCTGATTATGTGGATGCATAACGATAATTAAATTGTTGAACATTTATTATATTTACACATCAATAAGTTAATGAGCATTTTGTATTGTTTTCGGTCCTCATTTGTATCATTTAGATATACATGGATATTTCATGTTTAATGATGAATAGAAGATATCGTGCAGTCTATAGAGAAAACCTCAATCTTGTTATTGATATTTAATATAAGCTTCCACAAATCTAATGGATCACCGATTTTGAAGAACAAAAGAAAACATTAAACTAATTGTCTTTATTTCAAACCATGGCTATGTATTTCATCATGTTTTCAATATTCGTTAATTGAACATGTGAAATAATGCAGAGTATGTTTTGACGCCTTTAAATGCAGATAGGACCCTTTGCAGAATACAGAAAACACGATTACTAACATTTTTTTATCATGTTATTGAATTTCCAAAACCTGTTGTATCGTGATGCTAATACATTACACAAGTCATGTTGGTTAATGTATCATGTATGGAAATTCAAATTGTGTATTATACTTATTTGTCGACAGAATAATGATACCGAGGTCAAGTGTCAAACAAAAATTTACAAAACAGCTGTTGACCGATCAAATGCAAGCTGCTAGTCCTAAAAGAATTTCTCTTTTTTTTGTAATACATTACAATAAAAATTAGAAATATTACCATAAATTATTAAATACCTTAGACTTAGGTTTTTACTTTACGTGGTTACAGTAAGTACTACATAAATGTCATGCAGTAATGTTAACTAAAGAGATGTGGCAGGGTCCAAATGACATGGATTTAAAGAAATAAAAGTAACCATATGGCCTTCAATAATGAACAAAACCCATATCGCATAGTAAGCCCTAAAAGGCCTCAACATGACCTTGTGTGAATTTAAAAGAGAGGTGAAAGATAACAGAGGGACATTCAAACTCATAAGTCGAAAATAAACTAACAACGCCATGGCAAAAAGAGAAAAAGACCAAAAGACAAACAACAGTATATAAAATACAACATTGAAAACTAGACTGAGGAACACGGACCCCACCAAAAACCGGGGATAATCTCATGTGTTCCTGAAGAGTAAGCAGATTCTGCTCCACATGTGACACCCGTCGTGTTGCTCATAAATGTACAAACCCGGTGATAAGTCTAATTCGGTGTGTAACATTCGGAGAAAAGGAGGACGGGATTGTGGTTACGACAATTTGAACATAAGTATCATATGTAGTATACTCGACACTCAGTCGTGTTGGCCCTATATTTAATTAAATAAAAAAAAAAACTTAATTTTCTTAACTTTGACTTATATTTTTAGGAATCAATGTAAAGAAAAACAGATACTGTTCTTGAGTTCATCATCAATAAGATTGGTTGTGATTACGCTACTTATAAGGTGGTAAGTATTTCGAATAAAAGACGTCAGAATCTACATCCCAACACGTTCAATGATTAAATCTCATGGTAACATGCAAGTTTACTTGAATAAAAAATACCGTCCATCAATACATTGTATATCTTGATTAAGAGCTACTTTTATCTGAACTGAAAAAACCTTGAGCAACCGGACTATGGGCAGTATTTTCACTTTGTTTCAGTTTATTTGAAGTTTTGGACAGAAAAGAAATGATATAGTGAATACATCCATGACACAAAACCAGTATGTGCACAGCAAAAAACACAAAAAGCAAAAGAACAGCGCTATTATATCATCTCAAAGTCACAATGAGGCCTTCAACACGGAGCAAAAAAAAACTCTCACCTTACTGCAAGTTTAAGGCGGCCTCTAGCATCGGTTTGAGCGAAATTCTTTGCAAACTGACGATCAATGTGAATTGAAGAACAAAGCCATGGAGTGATATCAATAAAATAAAGCTGGCAGTACTGTTATTATTTAGTCCGACAAATACACTTAAGCGTTCAAAAACAGTTCAAGTTTGTTTTGCATATGGCCAAACATTGAAAAATGCAATAGTATCATAATATAAAAATAAGAAGATGTGGTATAATTGCCAATGAGACATCTCTCTACCAAAGACCAAATGACATAGAAGTTAACAGCTATAGGTCACCGTACGGTCTTCAATAATGCAAAACCCATACCGCATAGTCAACTGTATAGGAGACATTGTTTTTGTACTGTCCGCCCGCCTGCGAGTCCGTCGCAAGATTCTTTACTTTCAAAATTGTCTTGAATATTGGTTGACCGAAGTTGTGCTTTTTACTAAAATCAACGATTAATTTGAGGTAAAAATTTAAATAAAATATTCTTTTTTTCCAATATTATTATCAATGCTTCTAGCTATAGTCAATAGTAGAAAAATAATAACAAAGATACTGGAATTCGTTGATATTTTAGTCAGTGTCTCTAAATCTTGCTTGTCTCTACAAAATCATTTGCCTTTTGTTTATTGATCTAGACCATTTTGTTCCTATATCGAATCATTACCTTTTAAGCTTATTCAACGATTATTTAAGTTTTGTAGTATTTTGCGGATCAGAATTTGTAATTTTTGTGTTAAAATTTATTTAGATAAGATACTCAACATTGCCGTGAGGGAAAACGTTACGTTCTATAAAGTATATACAATTGATAAGCGTCGGTTCGTTAAAAAGATACCACGAACCCGGAGCGTTTTATCCATTGTGTCTATTATTTAAACTATTGCTGAGACATCTTTTCAAAATAACAGTTCTTTCATTAATTAGGTCCTATTACATGTATCAGTGAGTTCAAACTTAATTATCTTGAATGATTCACAAGAAACAACCAATAACCAGAAGTATGCAGGTAGTGGGTTTTAAATCTTCAAATAATATTTAAAAACAAATCCCATGCACTTTCAGTAACCTGTACTGAAATTTCCATTGAATTATTATTAACCTGAATATTATCCGTAATTTACAAAATAAGGCATACTCGAACTAATTTCTAAGTATATATAATATGTATGTTACCAAATTTCTAGCAAGAAACATAATTCTAGGCATTTCAAAATTTCCTCTCATGATGATTTGTCAATAGGCAAATTTAAAGATAGTATTACGTATTAAAACAGATGAAATCACTCTATACCTATATCCATTATAAAAATGGACAAGTTAAATGTTATCATTTTCTTTTGCTATACGCGAAATAGCTAATAATAAAACAAAAATAAACGGGAAAATCCCCGTTCTTGTTGCAAACATATCACAAAAAATAAAAATATAATAAAAAATGGAAAAACTAATTTAAAGAAAAGGGACAAAAAGAGAAAACAGGGATTCGAACCTTAACCGACAAATCTCAACTTTTGTTTGATTCTACAACTTATTCATCTTTTTTTCTTGATAGAATTTTATTCAAATATGTACAATAAATATTCACCAAACAGTACCTGGTGTCACAAACAAACAGTTACATGCAGTCAATTAAAACAATATCAAAAGCAATTCAACAAATTTTAAAGTTTAAATATGTTAATTCTTTTACATATCAACTAGTATAGTTTCGAATTAATATGATATGTTTGCATGGTTAATATCTGTGACTTTAATAACAGGATTGTCTGATATAAAATAGTTCTCTAATAATAAATGTTCTTTTCTCAGATTTAAAAGATAAAAAAATGCAACTCCTCCATCTAAACCTAAATTGATTGTTTGTAATACTATATAAGATAAGATAAGATTTATTTTATTAAAGTGTCACCATCCATTACAATATCTATGTATATATACACATAAAATCATAAGAACCAAACATTTAGTAAAAGGATGCCAGCCGAAAACGACTTACGAGACACTATCATTAAAACAAACATCTAATACATACATAAAAGGACAACTTTTTTTACATTTAAAAAGTATTTCGTAAATAAAACAAAAAAAAAATACATATATAATTTCTAGATGACATATATGTATAGATATTTAAATGTGCAAGATGCAGTAGAATGTGACCCCGTGCTTGTGGTGTATACCCTTATATTTTACAATCGTGGGTTGTTTGCCTGTGGGAGAGCTTTCACATGTTTATTATATCTTTATAGCTTGCTGTTCGGTGAGAGCCAAGGCTCCGTGTTGAAGGCCGAACTTTGACCTATAATTGTTAACTTTTTATACATTGTGACTTGGATAGAGAGTTGTCTCATTAGCACTCATACCACATCTTCTTATTTATATAAGCCATATGTGTCCATTGTACCGGTATGATTGTTTGTACTACTATATAAATGTATAGATATTTAAACGTGAAAGCCCTGTGTGTTCATTGTACCGGTATGATTACTTTCATGTTGCTCAATCTTTTAGTTTTCTTTGTAGCGTTTTGTGGGCTTGCTCTTCAACTTCGTATTTGGGAGGCCAATTAATATTTTTGATTCGAGCGTTACTGATGAGTCTGTTGTAGACGAAACGCGCGTCTTTCATACAAACTTGTAAGCCTTAGATGTAGGAAGATGTGGTATGAGTGCCAATGAGACAACTTTCCATCCAAGTTACAATTTATAAAAGTAAACCATTATAGGTCAAGGTACGGCCTTCAACACGGAGCATTGGCTCACACCGAACAGCAAGCTATAAAGGGCCCCAAAAAATTACTAGTGTAAAACCATTCAAACGGAAAAACCAACGGTCTAATCTATATAAAAACGAGAAACAAGAAACACGTATGAACTACATAAACAGACGACAACTACTGTAATCAGATTCCTGACTTAGGACAGGTGCAAACATTTGCAGCGGGATTAAACGTTTTAATGGTACCAAACCTTCTCCCTTTTCTGAAACAATAGTATTACATCACAACATAGAAAAACACACCATAAAATATCAATTGGAAGGCTTAACTCAATCAAAAAACGTAAATTAACACACAATGAACGAATAAATTTGACCTGTGACACCTGAATGCAAATACACAGTTAATAAAAAATTACAAGGGATAAATAATTAAAGTCAAAAGTAAATAAACAGGTTTAAACAAAGTTAAAGTATGATATCACTGTGAAATTTCAAACAATTTATAGAAAATCATCACTTTTGAAGAAGCCTGCGTCATATTATACACAGGTAAATGAAAACAATTGTATCTTTGATATGTTTTGTTTGTTCGTCTTTCAGTAGTTTGTTTTTGCCATAGCGCTGTCAGATTTCTTTCGGCTTATGAGTTTTGAATGCCCCCTTTGTATCTTCCGCCTCTTGTTTTTAAACATAAATCCTTTATTTAGAGTACAGATAAATTTTAATAAACAAGAGTTGTGATTAGCTTCATATGTAGAAGGCTTTTTTCATCGCCCAGTTTTAATTTCATATAATCAGAATAAGCTACAATGATTTAAAAAGAAGTCTTGTTTAACTGTAGCTGCTTTAGCTTGCTGAATGTATTCATGAATGCAAGTTTTATATATTTTGAAATCATTCACATTTAAATATGTATGACATATTTGCCTTCAATTGTAAATCAGCCTTTATTTATTTTGGGTTTTAGTGCAATTCAGTTAAATGGTATATTGTTGGACGCGTCTTGGTAACATTTCTACCGTTTACCACTTTTCATCACAATCTTGACTACAAAATTGATGTTTGAATTGTGGAAATATAATCAATTTAAAGACCAGCACAATGATTTCCTGGCAGACAGAATACATTGCAACATGATTGAAATCTGGTATTTGATAACTACATCGATGCTGAACAAATTATTCCCAACAGATTCCAAATGATACATACTCATGGTTTGTGACATTGTCGATTAATGAAGAATGAACAGGATGAAATTTAAATATTAATACAATCATAGTATATAATCGGTGTAGTAACGACTAACGCATCTTTTTCAGTGTGACTTCTCATCAGGTAGGATTTTATTTATTTCAAAAATCGTTTGATCCCTCCTCCCGTTAAAAACATTTTAGCTGAATGTTGTAGATCTATTAAAAGAAAAACATAAAGAAAATGTTTAGTTTTAAGATAGTCACTTTTTACAAAAATGACATATATTGTTACTTATTTTTTTCTGGATTCATTTTAATCTACAACTCTCATGTATAAAGTCAATTTGACCTAGCTGTTGATGTTTTAGTGAAAACAAAATGTATTGCTTGAAATTTTTTTTATCAAAATGTATAACTTTAAAGAAATCAAATATTATGATAATTATTGATAAGTTTTAATTATATGTACATGTAAAACATTAAAGTTATAATACTTTATAAATGTTATGCGTTTGAAGCTTGAGAAGGGGGAGGGTTAGGTCAAAAAAATTATTTAACTCCGCCATATATCCTTGTGCCTGTACCAAGTCAGGAATCTTGTCAGTGGTCATCTAATATCATATCTTAATGATATTATGTGGTGTATGACAGATCTATGATACTTTCTATTTAATTTATTCACAACTTTAATGGACTTGGG